AAGCATCGAAGATACATTCGAAGCATCAAGAGTTGTTTCGAAGGTTGATTACTTCACCTTCGAAACTGTATAAAACTTTGAAAACTTTCGAAATGTGTACATCTCTTCAAATATATGTAAAATGACAATTAATTAGTTGTCGAATAATGCCTGTTTTTGGCATCATAAGTTGGCTCGAAGAACAACAGTTTTGGTGTCTTCGAAGAATTAATAATTGGTTCGAAGCACAAAATTAATATTTTCATTAATTCTGTGTGAACCAGAACATATAAGTTTTGAATAAACCACAATGGTTGGCCAAAAACAGCTTCGAAAGTCGTTTTGCCATAATTTTGTAAGCTTCGAAGCACTCTATCTTGCATCAACAACAACTTCGAAAGAATAATAATGGTGGTTGTGAACCTTCGAAGCTTTGTCGAGTATTTTTGAGGATGTAATTCGTCTTTTGTCGGTTCCATCGACCTTCGAAGAATGATTTTGGTCCTTTATATCACTTTCGAAGCTTGTTACTAGTAATAATTCGAGTCATCTAGTCATAATTTCATACTCATTCGAAGCGCTTTATTGGTGTTGTTGCATCATTCGAAGCACTTTGCTGCTTAGGTTAGTCATGTGCTTGGTTCGGCCCTTCAAAAATTCAAATAAACATCACTTTTAAGGGCCGCGGGAGGTAATGTTAACACCATAAATCTGCAATTTTTATTATTATTTATTATTTATATAATTGCAGGACACGTGGCATCCTCTTATTCATTTGGAAGTTAAAAGAAGTTATAGAGATAATGGAGAATATGAAGGACAAAGTGGATGAGTGGGAGGACAAAGTGGATGAGTGGAAGGACACATGGCAAGACAAGAATGAAGATGGAAGAAATGGGTAGTTACTAAGTAGTTATTGCTGTATTTTTTCTTCTATAAATAGCCATTAATGGCTACATTGTAAAAGATCCAGAATTTAAATCAAATACAATTGATTTCAATATTTCTTGTCATTTTCCTTATCTTAGGAGTAGTTTAACATAGATTTATATTTCGAAGCATTTATTTTCAGCATTTCCATTTCGAAGCATTTTATGCACTTTCTTTTCGAAGCATAGGAGTAGAGGTACGTATTTATTACTTTGATTGTTCACTCAATCATCTTTCTCCGTCCCTTTTTCTTCTTTTACTTTTTCTTTTCGCTACACTTGGCAAATTTGAAGTCCTCTTCGTTGAGGCAAAATAACCGTCAACACAATCGCTTGATAATTGGCTTGAATTTAATCTGTAAGGATTTTTCAATCCTTGCTGGCACGCTCGCATTTATGATATTTTCCTTCGTAGGAAAAATAAGCCAACACCGCCCAAACAAATATAGCCTAATTGTACAATAATCAGATGACATGTGCGATATTAAAAGTAGTCTTGTTGGGAATAATTAGAGGGTTTCAGAAATAATGGTGTGAAGGTAATGTAATTTGAAAACACCGTGTTCGAAGGTAATGTAATTTGAAAACACCGTGTTCGATTGATCACGTAATCTTTGTCCACTTGAGTGTCTAACTTCTTCAACATTTTAGGTGGTTTATTAAAAGGGACATTACATATTCTATCATTATTATTGATATGTCTGTACTCTCAAGTATAACGAGCTAGACATTATAAAATCATAAGAAGTAAATTACATATTGTCTTCGTATGATTAGGCTAAAATGAAAATAGTGCCTCCGTGAAATTTGATTTGTAACATTATATCCATTTGGATTAATACCAAAAAGAAAGACAAAACGAAATGATTAAAAAAACAAATCTCTTTATTTTTCTCATTTCATGTACAATCTATGATCAAGTTAGATTATCAAATTAGATTATCAAAGTAAGACTTATAGCAGGCTCAACTAGACAATTCAATCCAAAACTCTACTCATTGTTGTCTACACAGGATTGATTTGAGAAGTTAGTTAAAAGTTAATTTTTTAATTTTTTTGACTTTTTTGAAAAAACATATAAAAAAGTAAAGAGGTGATCTGATTTAAAATAGGTTAAAAGTTAAACAGTGGTCGCATTATACTACTATCTTTTTTGAGTATAATAAAATTAATATAAACTGTAAATGTGAATAATCTTATATATATCAATTACATAAATTATACCGTATTTTTTTAGTTTATGGTTGATTCTTCTCATTATTATTATTAGTACACAACAATGATTTGAATGAAGAGAGAAAACGATGCGCACCATGGATGGAGCAATTTTCGATTGATCTAGTCTAATAGGATTTAAAAGTTAATTTTTTTTTTCCAAATATTTTAAAAAGACAAAAACAAAATAAAATAAACTGTTCAAAAAATAATTGAACTTCCTACGCCTCCCGAATGGAGTTTGATTTTCTTCCCCATTTATAGTATTGGTGAACATAATATGTTTATTATTATTATTATTATTATTATTATTATTATTTATGGGTTGGTTGCTTTTAGTATTGTTCACTGCTTGGTGAGTGAATAAAATTAAGAGTAATGTTACATAACCCTTAATTAATAAATTTTATATTTTTTTTACTTGCTAAAATTAAAATTCACTTAAATTTGATCTCACAACAAAAACTTTAAACACACACTATAAATTTATTTTCATAATACAAATCTAAAACTATTTTGGACAAATTGCCTATACCTCCCTTGAGATTTAACTAAATTACAGATTCTTTTATGAGATTTCAAAAATTACATCTCGCCCCCGAGGTTTATATTCACATAACAATTTAACTCCTACCGTTATCTAAATGTTAAGAATGGTTAGCTTACATCACCAAAATATAAATTGATTGACGATATTACCCCTGCCAAAATCCCTTTGATAAATCAATAAAATTTACAGAAGAATTACGTTAGATGGAGAAAAAAAAAAAAAAAAAAAAGTTTTTGGAACCATGTTTGATTTGTTGTTTAGAAAAAAAAATTCAAATTTAAAAAAAAATAAAAACTAATTTAATAAAAATAAATATTTATTTAATTTGTAAAAATTATTTCTAACAACTCAAACAAACAACTCAAGAAAACGTAAATCCGAAGGTGACGTTAAATCATGGAAGGCTTCTAAAACTGAAAAAGAAGACGAAATGGAAAAAAAAGTAATGCAGGGAGCTGCCAGTGGAGAAGGCAGAGCTACTAAGAAGCCGAAGAGTGATCACACAAGAGGAAGTGGAAACAAGTTTTCATCAGAGAGAAAGCAGGAACACTCAAAACAGAGGTTAAAGAATCACCAACATGGAGGAAATTTTGAGGATCAGAAATCACTCCGAGGTGAAAATAAGGGGATTAATGCTCTTAAGCCCCAATCTTTTGGTGAAGGGGATCTGCAAACGAGCAAGTGGAAATCAAGAGATCAGACCGAACAACAGAAGGAAGGTATTAGTTTGAAGAAAAGAAAAAGGGGAAAAAAAAAAAAAAAAAAAAAAAAAAAAAAAAAAAAAAAAAAAAAAAAAAAGAGTGCATGAGTTTAATCTCTTCATTCCGACTAAATAATTACAATGACAGGGGGTTAGTGTAATTTCCCAAATGTCGGGGGTGATATGTATTAAACACAAACCTCAGGGGGTGTAAGTGTAATTTAACCTTAATTTTATGATATTTTCACCATTTGACACTACAACATATAAGAGTTTTAGAAACCAAATTTTTTTTATCTCTAAAAGTGAAAATTTTGTTGCAAAAGACATTTAGGAACTAATTTCTATCGTCGTAAAGATAGTCGCTAAAAGGTCGCCTTCAAAAGTCAAAAATAAGACTTTTAGCGATAAAATTTCAAAAATGTCAATAATAAATAGACTTTTAGGAAAAAAATAATTTGATACAAAAAAGATAATAACTAATCACTAATGTTCAATTTTCATTGCTAAAAATATAATAATGATACTTTTAGCAACAAAAATATTTGGTCCCCTAAAAATAATTTTGTCCCTAAATTTTGATCTCTAAAACCTTAATTTTTTGTAGTGTGATAAGTGTTTTTCATTTTAATTTTACATTTCGTAACTTATTTAAAAATGATAATTTAGCTAAACCTCAAGAGAGAATCTGTAATTGAGCTAAATCTCAGAGTGAATCTATAATTTAGTTAAACTTCAAGGGGTATAGATAATTTGTCCTTATTTGTCAAAAATGTATTTTTGTCAATTTATAATATCCGTTAATGGTGTTAATTGCGATAAGACATGATGTAATTTTTAAAATCTCAAAAAAAAATCTATAATTTTGTAAAACCTGAGGGAAGATGTAGGTAATTTGTCCAACTATTTTCTAGTCTCCAGACTTTGCCATTGACATATCTATCCTTATCAAATATCACACTACCTACATCTATTATTATCTCACTAGGACCAGTTCGAGACTTATAAGTCAAGTCCACGTTGAAGCCAGCTGTGCCAACCGTTTCTATATTTCACATTTATGTTCGTTTGAATCATCTATCTAAATTTATATTTTAACCACAATTTTAAAATTTTAAAAATTATTTTATGCTATGTATATATGATCATATAAATTGTGTTTAAATTATGAATTTAAATAAAAATTTAAAAACAAAAAGGAAGAAGATATAAATAAATTATAAGTTAATTTTATTTTATTTTTTTTTTCATTTCTGTCTCTTTTGTAATGAATTTCCCAAACCACCCACCAAAAAAAAAAATTCTCCATGTCCAGAAGATATATAATACACATCCTCTGATCACAAAAAATTAGATCCCGCAAACAATTCTCATCACAAACCACCCACCAAAAAAGTACTCTCTAATCACAAACAATTCTCAAACAAATTTCCATGGAAAATCTTCAATCCCGCAAGATTCTCTCCTCTCTCTATCTCCTCCTCTTCCATCTTCTCCAATTCTCATCTCTTTCACTTCTCTCATCATCTTACACTCTTCCAGACAAGTACTTCATCAACTGTGGCTCTGACTCCAACTCCACACTCAACCGCCGAAACTTCGTCGGCGACGTCAACTCCACCTATCACAAACGATTCTCAAACAAATTTCCATGGAAAATCTTCAATCCCGCAAGACTCTCTCCTCTCTCTATCTCCTCCTCTTCCATCTTCTCCAATTCTCATCTCTTTCACTTCTCTCATCATCTTACACTCTTCCAGACAAGTACTTCATCAACTGTGGCTCTGACTCCAACTCCACACTCAACCGCCGAAACTTTGTCGGCGACGTCAACTCCACCTTCTCCTCCGCAGCCGGAGGCCAAACCAGCGCCGTCTCAACCACCAATTCATCAACAACAATCGAATTATATCGGACGGCTAGAATCTTCAAAAACGCATCTTCATACGAGCTCGAAATTTCCCAAATCGGCACTTACACGGTACGCTTTCATTTCTACGCTTTCAACAATCTCTCCGACGCTCAATTCAACGTTTCGGCTTCTGGGTTTTCGCTGCTATCAAATTTCACATCATTAAAAAACTCACCGGAAATCAAGGAATTCTTATTCACCATCGAAACAAGAAAATTCACGATCGATTTCAAACCTTCTAAAAACTCATCGTTTGCTTTTGTAAACGCACTCGAAGTTTTTCTCGTCCCAGACAATTTCATCGTAAATTCCATGATTCGTGTTTCTTCTTCTGGAAGCAACAGTACTTACGACGGCTTGCTCTCTCGCGTTCTTCATCCGGTTCATCGGATTAATGTTGGAGGTGGCGCACTCTCACCGGAAAATGACACACTGTGGAGGAATTGGGTACCAGATGATGGGTTTCTATATTCAGTCATCGCTGCGAAGAACAGCAGTTTCTATAGCAATAGGCCCAATTATCAGGAAGGAGGAGCTACTGATTATATTGCTCCTGATCTTGTTTATAAGACTGCTAAAGAAATGAATATAGATCCTGGAAGGTTATCCAATTTTTTCAACATAACATGGAATTTCAATGTGAGTAAGAATGTTCCACATCTCGTTCGGGTTCATTTTTGCGACATAATAAGCTCGTCCAATGACATTTTCAGGTTCAATCTCTACGTGTTTGATACGTTCAGTCAGAAAATTGATCCGTATGAGGTTATTCCCCAATTGGCAGCTCCGTTTTACAAAGATTTTGTGGTTGATTCCGATGATTTTGGATTTATAAATGTCAGCATTGGCCCACGGCAGGATTCAAATAACCAAACTGCTTTTTTAAATGGGCTAGAGATCATGGAGATAATAGGGGGATTGAGTCCTGGTTTGAAAAAACTGTCGAAGACACATCTTGTTTTTGTCATAGTTGGTTCAGTTCTTGGAGGTGTGGCTTCTGTGTTTTTATTTATTGCGGTGTTTGTTGTTAGATATAAATTCAGGAAAGCCAAACCTGTTGAGAATTCGGATTGGCAGACCATTCCCTCTCCGGTTTGCAATCTGAATCTCGGGTTGAAGTTATCTCTTTCTGAAATTCAGTACGCAACTAAAAATTTCAACTCCAAGTTGATGATAGGTGAGGGCGGGTTTGGAAAAGTTTATAGAGGAACTCTTCGGAGCGGTGAAAAAGTTGCTGTCAAAAGAAGTCAGCCAGGGCACGGCCAGGGCCTTCCAGAATTCCAGACAGAGATCAAGGTCTTGTCAAAAATTCGTCACCGCCATCTTGTTTCCTTAATTGGGTACTGTGATGAAGAATCCGAGATGATCCTTGTTTATGAGTTCATGCAAAAGGGTACTCTGAGGAGTCATCTGTATAATTCAAATGAGGATTTGGATAAATCATCTTCGGAGTCAAAATTATCATGGAATCGAAGACTTGAGATATGCATTGGGACTGCCAAGGGTCTACACTATCTTCACAGAGACCGAGGCATAATTCACCGCGATGTCAAGTCAACAAACATCTTGCTCGATGATGATTATGTCGCTAAAGTTGCTGATTTTGGTTTATCGAGATTAGAAGCTCTCGATCAAACCCATGTCAGCACAGAAGTGAAGGGCAGTTTTGGGTATCTTGATCCCGAGTACTTCAAATTCTTCCAATTAACTCAAAAATCCGATGTGTACTCATTTGGCGTGGTTCTGCTAGAAGTGCTATGTGCAAGGCCGGCCATTAACAAGAAGCTTCCATGGGAGCAAGTGAGCTTGGCGGCATGGGGCTTGTCTTGTCAAAAAAAAGGACTGCTCTGGAAAATCGTTGATCCATTGATCGCAGGGAATATTAGTCCCAATTCGCTGAGAACGTTTGGGGAAATTGTGGACAAGTGTTTGAAAGAGTACGGAGTTGAGAGGCCGAGCATGGCTGATGTTTTGTGGGACTTGGAATATGCACTGAAACTTCAACAGACTGCAACGCACAGAGAACCTCATGAGGATAGCACAACGGACGTATCGTGGGTGTTGCCGGTGCCTAGTGTTCATCGGTTACCTTCTGATAGCATGACAATCGATGAAGATGGTGTGACCGTGGATGATTTTGGGAATACAGGTGCGGATACAGTTACAGATACATGTGCGTTCCAAGTATTTTCGCAGTTGAGGATTCACGATGCCAGATAGTTATGTAGAATTTTGAAATTAGATAGATAAATGTTAGTGGATTAAAAAATACTAATGTTGTGTTTAGTTGGGAGATTTGGGAAGGAATTTAGAAATAGAAAGGGAAAATGTGTGTGAAACTAGGTGAAATGTAAGTATATTTTATTCATATTTCACTTAACTTTTCCTTTTTCATTTCCAAATCTCTCATCAAATCCCCCAACCAAACACAGCATAAGAAGTGTATTCGTCTCATAATTTGTAATTTGGATTAAAAAATGCTAAGTAGTGTATTCGTCTCATAATTTGTAATTTTTACTATTAGTCAGTTGTTTTTATCTATCAATTGAAATTATGTCTACTTTTTTTTATTGTTTTCATGTGTGTCTGTTTTATTTTTCTTTACTTCCGTTACTTAGGTGGGTTTTTTCCCAACGAATTACCCGAGTGGTGGACTAAAACTCAGTTGCCATCTTTAGTTGGATTTTGGCCAAATAATAATTAACAGCAATGGATTGTTTAGGTTGGGTGCAGGTTGCCTTTGAGCACGCATTTTTCCATTACGAGAGTATCACAACAGTAATGAGCCCTGAAAAAATAATGTACGGTCTTGTTTGGTGTATTTTATTGTAAGTTAAAAATGAATAATAGATATTTTTCAATTCATATATTAATTTTGCCTAATAAGTTGTAAATTTGTTTGAGATAAGCATACAAGCAACCCATATAAATGCACCAAATAACCCTATTCGTGATTTCCCTTTTCTTTTTCTTTTTTTCCAATTTGTTTTGTGCATGTAAAATTATTGATATCAGAAACGGTTAACTGAGATCATAAACATGATGATGGTCATATTTTGGTTTGGTTTTCAAAAATTTATTTTAATTTATTTTTTGAAAATTTAAAAATTAATTTGCTAAAAGAAATAAAAAAATAAAAAACACTTAGGGTGTGTTTGGTAACGTTTACGTTTTCAGTTTATATTTACAAAAATTTTATAAACTACTTTTTGTTTATTTTTAGAAAAACATAAACTACAAACGTGTTTGGTAATTGACAAAATATTTAAAAAAATTTAAAAATATAAAAAAGAGTGTTTCCAAGTGACTTCCAAGTTGCTTGAATGCAGTCAACAGTTCATCTCAGTGGGATTCTCAAATGTTATATTTGGTTGGGCGATTTGGGGAGGGATTTGAAAAGAGAAATGAAAAAGGTAGGTGAAATGTGAATAAATCATGCCTATATTTCACATAGTTTCACATACCTTTTCCCTTTCTCTTTCCAAATCTCTTCCCAAATCCTCCAACCAAACACAGCATAAAAGTAAAATTTCAATCAGGATGTCTAGTTTTAATTTTCTTGAAATTGATTTTTTATTTTTTGTATTTTTTTATTTTTAGTCAATATTTTAAATAATTTTTTTACTTTTTTTATTTTTTACTTTTTTAAATATTTATAAAAAATAATAAAAAAATTAATAAATACATAAAAATATGAAAAATATACTGAATTTTTATATTTTTTGTATATTTGGTATTTAGTGAATTTTTTAAATATTTTTTCACAAATATTATATTTTTTAGGTGTATTTATATTTCGTGTGTCTAAAAATTAAAAAGTTTGTTTAAAATATTAAAAAAATTCAGTGAAAATAAAAAATATATAAAAAATAAAAATATTATATTTTTTTTTAAAAGTAAATCTTAAAAATGAAAACCAAACAGAATAAATATGATCACAAACAAAAGACCATGAGAACAAGAGTTCCCATTTTTATTTTTATTTTAGACAGAATGGACAGCAGAGAGGAAGATACTTGGTTAAGAAGCTTCCTTTTGGGGGAGGACCGTTACCTTTAAACCTTTATAAGCACAGTGGAAATTTATGAGAGGGCTATCTCTCTTTCTTATGAGCACATTAGATATTTTTGAGCCACCAGTCTTACAAAATACCTCCTAATATTGTGTTTGGTTGAAAGATTTGAATAGATATTTAAAAAGAAAATAAAAAAAGTAAGTGAAATGTGAATAAAATATACTTAAATTTCACACATTTTTCATTCCTCTTTCCAAATTCCTCCCAAAATCTCCTAACCAAACACAGCATAAAAGTATTGTCAAAATTTACTACTGATGATGTGATAATTCCAACGGAAGATGGGTCGAACTGATCCACACTTCTAACAGCTTTACTGGTCTTGAAGCCCACAGAACGTTCTTGCAAAAAGGTTCAAAGGGGAGGTAATCCCCCAGCAGACTCTCCAACGATCGAATTATAATAGGATAGATTGACTATGTAGAGAAAGAAGAAGGGAACGAAGAACCTAATCTCTAATGCGTTTTGGAAACTTTCTTATATCATTTCCTTGTCCACTCCAGATTGTCGTGTTGGCTAAAAGTTTATAGCTCGTATCGTTCATGGTGAGTTTGTATATTCCGACGTGAAGGGGTTATCGTATTTAATGCTGTGAGAGCCTCATTAATATCAGATATATGGGTGCAATAGCTTTACAGGATCTTTGTCTGCTTATGTAGTTAAACCTCTGCTTGACAAGAGTTTGAATGTTATTGGTCCTGGTCCATCATTGATTTCTCAAGATTACTGAGTTTTAATATCTAATCCGTGGGCTGGGTCCTGAGTCGTGGGCTGACCCTCTTGTGGGCCATCCAATATCAACTTCTAACCTTCTTTTTTTTCTTTTTTCTTTTTTCTTTTTTTTAAGGATGCTTTTGAATTTTAAAATTTTAAAGCAGAAAAAATGATGTAAAAATTATTTTTAAAAAGCCTTCTAAAAAACATTCAAATACAACACAAGGGAAAGTCTATTCTTATAGAAAATTTATACAAAAATGTATCGAGGATGTGCGGTTGATATCTTTAGAAAAGTATCAAGATAGTATGTTGCTTTGAAAAAGGAAAAATGATTTATAGCTAGAATTTTTATACATAAAGGTTATGTTTGTTTACTGACTTTAGTGGCCGGATTGGATCATCTTGGTTGTGGCCCATACCAACAGCATGTTTGATGCGGAAATGAGAGGCCGGATTGATAGTTCAAGGGCATAGTAGTCTCCTTCAATATGAGGATTAGTTTAATTGGATAGAGGGTGGAATTAGGAAAATAATGAGCGGATTAGGCCAATTTTTTTTTATTTTTTATTTTTTATCAAGTACACATGTTTGATTTTATATTTGTTTTAGATTTTTTTCAATATTGAAATAATTTTTTTATTTATTTTATATAAAAATAATTTAATAATTCTATCACTAATTATCGCCCGTACTATCATCAAAATAAACATACTTTTACTTAATCCCCTTACTAATAATCCTCATATTAACAATTTTTTTACTAACCATTTTCATACTAATAGTTCCATCTAACTTAATCCACCAACAAATGTGGCCAAAACAAATTCAAAATGATGAGCCTACAATCATAATCTTAAAATGAAAGAACCATAAAAGGTAAGGTCAAGTATATCTTTGTCTAACGTTACCCTTGAAAAAAAAAAAAAAAAAAAACTACAGCAATTTAAATTTGATTATGCCATTTTGTTTTAAAATTTTGTATAAAATCTTTATTTGTAAAATATTATTATATCTATAAGAGCATGTTTGTTTGGTGGGATTGAAGGGTGAAATTGGACTAATAGTCTGTTGTTTGTTTCAAATTTTTTGTACCAGACTATTAATCCAAAATCTGTGACACTATTGTATCTCATGGGGGGTGGGATACAAATCATAGGATAACTCATCCCATGGAATTAAGTTGTCAAATTACATTATTGACCATTTAGTATTAAATATCTTTTTCCTCATGGTATTAATTATACTTAATAAAGTAGTCTCAGTTTAAAAATAAAATAATTTTTTAAAATTTTTATTGATGTTTTATTTATTTAATTTTTTAAAATAATTTTTTATAGATATTTTATTGATGTTTTATTTTAAAATTTTGTTGATATTTTATTTAATTTCATTGTTTAAAATTTTAATAGATGCTTTATTTAATTTCATTATTTAATTATTATTATTTTTTAAAATAAATTTATTTAAAATTTTAATTAAAAAAATAACATATATTTTTATTGATATTTTATTTGTTTAACTTTTAGTTAGCTTATCTATAACTCTAGCTCCTATCCCTAGTACGAATGTACTAATTAATGAAGAAAAATATGAATATTAAGATGTTAAAATTGATTTAAGTTGGAATATTCCTAAAGTCAAAACCAAAGAAATTTACAAAACTGGTTTTTTACAACCCACCTTTAATGTTGATTTACAAGTCAAAACTATTGAACAAGTTTATGCTTTAACAAAAATTAGGAAAACTTGTCAATTATTATCTAAAGAGTCAATTGGAAAACATCTCAAAGTTGGTCATAATTTTATCCATTTAGGATTAATCCAAGTGGGAATCAACCCATTAACCTAACAAGGTACAAATACTTCTGTCCTTTTATGTTTACGTGATACTCGTTTTATTAATTACCATGCTAGTGTTATGGAAATGATGGAATCTGGTCTGCATAAAGGTCCGGTATATTTTAATTATTTTTTAGATTTTACTTTAAGTTTACGTGATCCCCATATATTAAAAGTTTTAACACTAAATATTCAATTATCTGGTGAATATATTAATATGTTAGAAAGTACTCATAACATTGCTTTAATATATCGAATTTATTACAAATGTATTAAAACTAATTTGAATGGTCAAACTTTAACTAAAAGTCCCAAAGATAAAACCCTATTAATCCAAGGTAGCACTACTGAAACTAATATTTCTATTCCAAAAATGATTTGCTGGAAAGATATTAATCTTCCTGATTATTGGGTTACAGTAAATGAAAATTACTCCCAAAATCAACAATCTTCTCCTAGTCATGATATTCAAAATATTCAAAAATTTAATGAGTGTTCTGTTCATATTAGATTTAATAGACCCTATAATCAATCCTCTCGATATAGTACCTCTAGTTTACCTACTGAAACTGATGAAGATGAAATCTTCAATACCCATTTGTTTACTAGAAGAGATAAAAAAAACTACACCTTTGTGAGCCTTCCTCACAAACCCAGCATACACATAGTAAATTAAAAGGAAATGATAATTCTTCTACTTCTCAAATTAGTAAATCAATTTACTCTACTCACACACATCTTCAAGAAGAAGATACTATATCTCAGGATTCACCTACTCAAACTGATTTTGAAATTGTTCCTCCTATCAGCCCACAATTGTTAACTTTAAGTAAACCTTTTACTCCAGGCCTTAATAAACTTCATGCTGAATTGAAATCTACGACAAAGAAGTCAAAAAGACACACATATAGAAATACTTATGATACAAA